AAGGCCGAGTCAGGACTCCCAGGCTGGCCACCAAGGACCCCAGGGCCGCCCCAGGGCCAGGAGAAGGCCGAGTCAGGACTCCCAGGCTGGCCACCTTCCCCTGCACTGGACGGGGGCTGCTGCCCTCTAGTCGAGCTTGGGGGCCTTCCCCAGGGGCCTGGCCACAGTGAGGGCTGCACATGCCGCCCTCTGCTCGAAGGGAAGGCAGGGCTGGGGTGACCAGGGCACACGAGTGGCACACAATTGAGAGCCAGGACTGGGCCAGGGAATGCCACGTTGGAGTCTTGGCGGTGGGAAACGGGCGCAGCTGGGGAGGGCTGCGGGCCGCACTTAGCTCTCAGGCTCAGCCCGGAGTGGGAAGGTGCAAACCCCAGAGCAAGGCTCGTGCTGGGCCACAGCTGTGAAGGTGCCAGCGCTCCAGGGTGCCATGGGCACATGTGGGGGGCAAGCTCGTGGCTCGGGCCACGTGGGCACTTCTGGTGTTGCGCACTGCACCCCCAGGGGCCCTGGTGAGAATCACAGTGCAGGGCAGACCACCCAGGCCTGCAGCAGGGCCAATCCCAGGCTGCTCACTCACACGAAGTTGCCTGCATGGGACCCTGCAGACGAACCCCGTGCTCTGACCCTCCATGCCCAGGTGGGGGCAGACCTGCACTCACCTGTCCCGGGCCACTGTGGAGAGGCCACTGAAGAGCCCTGAGGAGTAAAAGGAAGGGGCTTAGGATGTGCGGGGAGCCCTGTGCCCTCACTCACCCAACCAGCACCCCGAGACACAGCAGCAAGGGACAGAACTGCGGGCTGACTCGGCGTCCCTGGGCGGGCACTGCAACCACCTCCCACGTGCAGGTGGGCAAGGACCCCAGGCTGGGGCACCCAACAAGCACCTCACTTTCCACTCAGAGACCCTGGCCACAGGCGCCATGTATGCAATGTTTAGGCCAAAGCAGCCTAAGGTAAGTGGAGAAGCCGTGGAAAGTGGGCCCACAGGCAAGGAAGCCCCTGGGGACTGCGGCCTCCATCGCCCCGGAGCACAGGCCTGCAAGTCCTCTGCCCTGGGAGGGAAGCCCTTTTCTCTCCAGGCCTGGCTACCCCAGGGAGCAGTTTCTGGACAGAGAACAGAGGACCAAGGACAGAGAAGGGGGGTGGGGGCGAGGCCCGCACCTCTGGGGTCTTCTGAGCCCTCGGGGAGCTGACTGCCCAGCTGCTCGGGGCCGGGGCGGCTGGCTCCACCGACGTCCTCCCCTGCACCTGGGTCTTCAGGAGCTGGGAGCGTGGCCAAGGCCTGGGGCTCTGACCCCTCTCCTGCCTCGAGCCTGGGGCTGGGGGCCCAGGGAACATTCTGGAGCATGGGCCTCTTCGCAGGGGGCTTCTGGGCACACTCAGCATCAGCGTCACTGCTCTGGCTGTGATGGCGAGCCCGCTGCTTGGTGCTCGAGGGGCTGGGAGGAGGTCCCATGGGCCGCCCGGCCTGGGTGGCCTCCTGCTGAGCGGGGGCGTCCTCCTCTGTGTCTCTCAGCCGCACCGAGTGCAGCAGCCAGGGCCGGGCGAAGACCATGGCCACCAGGCGGACCGTGTTGCTGCCGACTTCCAGCACCTGGCGCCAGGTCAGGAGGTCCTAGGCGAGACAGGCAGGTCTGTCGGGACAGAGCCGTGGGGACTGGGCGACGGCGGATGCCCGACAGCGTGCCCCGGCTGCTGTGTCAGGGCCTTGGCAGGCCGCAGACCCAGTTCCGCAGAACAGGGCCTGACTCCCGGCCCGGGGCTGCCGGACATGAGGCCCAGGGCAGGCTCCTCCCTGCCTGGGGACCGTGCAGGTACTCATAAAAGGAGCCGGTGTGTGTGCTGCACAGGAGGACAGCCACATCATCAAGCCGGGGGCACCCCAGCCTGCCTCGCTCCCCCATGGGAGCCAGCATACGTGTCCCCCAAAGTGGTCACTACTCCATGCAGGTATGGGGGGCCTAGGCGAGACGTGAGGGGGGCAGTGGAGCCACCTGGGCTGTCACCCTCTGCCTGTGAGCTGACCCCTGGGCCCTGCCACCGCAGCCTTGGGGCCGTCCTCCTACCTCTGTGGGCTAAGGTTACTTCCCTGGGCAACGTGGAGCTATTTCCTGCCCTCTAGAGAGCTGGTCGGAAAACACAAATGCGTCTCCATGCCAGCTCTGGAGAGGGAGGCACAGCTGGCTCCTGCGACCTCGCCTGTGCCCTAGGTCTCCTGGCCCTCACAGGACGGAAGGCAGAGGCCCCCATCCCACACACAAACTGCACAATGACGTCCCTGTAACGTGGCTAGCAGCTCCTGCTCAGCTGCTGTTGGCTGTGTGCAGGACACACTGGGCACAAGGGCCAGTGCGCCTAGGGACCAGGCAGGTGCCGTGCAAGTCCAGGGTCCTCACAGGAGGGAAGGAGGGAGGGAGGGAGAAGCGTGGGAGGAAGGGAGGGAGGGAGGAGGGCGGGCTCAGCCTGTGCTGGGCAGGAGCAGCGGCTCGGCTCCTGGACTCTAACACTGAGGAAAGGCTCACTGGAGGTAAAGCAGTCTCATCTTTAAATGCTGACGTTAATTCATTCTTTACAGCAGCTCACTCCCGTAAGCCCCACACCAAGGCCCCTGCTCCCAGCAGCGAGCCAGGCTGCCGGCGCACAGTTCACCTGGACGTAGTCCTGGAATGTCCTGGAGCCTGCTGTCGTCTGCACGGCTGAGAACTGTCTGCCCAGCTTCTCCTTGTCAATCCCGAAGCAGCCTGCAGAGACCACGGCCTCCCAGATCTCCTGGGCGGCCGTTATGTCTTCCGGGCTGTACCCAGAAAGCTGCCCCTGGCAGACAAACTCCTCCAAGCTGAACACACTTTCTGGGGGCTCTACCAGCCTGGTGAAGGAGGCCGGGAGGTAGGGGGCGCCCAGTGTCAGCTCCTGCAGAGAAGGGTCTGTGGAGACCGGAGGAGGGTCAGAGGCAGCCAGCAGAGGCCCTGCCCGCTGAGGGCCCGCCACCAGAGGTGCCCCGTGCAGTCCCAGCGTGCTGCTCCGCAATAGCCATGAGGCCACCTTGGAAGGACACACTGCACGCCTGACTGCGGCTCCAGGGCTGGGCGCCTGGCCCGCGCAGTGCAGGGCAGATGTGGGCTGGGTGCGTGAGTGCCGAGGCCCATGCTCCAGTAGGCCCCAAGTCTGGCCAGAGGCCCGCCCCTTCCTAGAGGCTCTGTCCTCCCTGCACCGAGGAAGAAGCCCCAGGCCTTGACAGAGCACCAGACTCTAAGTGGGGGCACAAAATGGACAGCAAGGACCACCAAGATCTGCTGTGCGTGCGGAAAGGAAGGTGTGGGGGAGGGGAAGGGCAGAGGAAGAGGGAGAAGAAAGAGGAAAAAGAGGGTGGAGGAGGGCCCTGGGGAGCAGGAAGAAGCTGTGGCCAGACAGCGAGACTCCCTCAAACTGAAGGAATATGAAGGGGAGGTTTAAGTAATTTACTGAGTTTCAAAGGTAATGAACAAAACCTGAAAGGCCCATCCCGTCGCAAGGAAAGAGGCGGAGGTGGCAGTGAGGGCTGGCGAGCATCTTCCACACCAAGGAACCAAGGCCATTATCCAACAGCGGCCTCAAAGTGACACCTGGAGTCCTGCCCTCTAGGAGGCTAAGGCAGGGAGCCAAAGCTCAAGCAATTTGGCAAGACACTGTCTCAAAGTAAAAAAGAAATAAAAGGATTGAGGATATAGCTCAATGTAAAGGCTCTGGGTTCAATCCTTGGTACTGCAAAAATAATTACAAAAAAAAAAAAAAGGCATGATCCCAGCACTCGGGGAGGCTGAGGCAGGAGAACTGCTGTGAGTTCAAGGCCAGCCCGGGCTACACAGCAAGACCCTGTCTTAAAAATAAATAAAGAAGCAAGCAAGCACACTACTCTCCAATTCCCAAGGCAGCTACCAAGCTGGTGGCACAAGGCAGGAAGGGGACACCCTGGTGTGCCGGCCAAGGCCTGGTAGGAGGTGTGGGTGGGGCCCTGGGCCGGTGAGGCTGAGGTGAGCTCTCCTATGAAGGGTAGGTACCACCACAGGGGACGCCCCTCGGGTCCACGCCCCACAGCGCTTGCCTGGCAAGCGAGGTCCTGAGATCCATTTCTGGTACCAAAAAAAATAATAATAATAATAAAATAAATAAAGTGAGGTATTCCTCTGTCTCTGTGGCTGCGCGCCAGCCTGGACATGCGCACCTGGCCGGTCCAGGAAGGGCCCTCGGGACACTCACCAGCAGGCCTGAGCTGCACGGACAGGAGGGGCGTGCGGCGAAGCCTGAACTTCACCTGGCAGGAGTTGACCACGACGCTGTCATTGGGGTTGAGGTTGCGGTTGCTGACGACACCAGGTACACAGCAGCCGCGCATGAGCAGGTACCTGGTGTGTGAGGCCTGGTGCGCCTTCACCTCCACCCCTGGGCGCTTGGCTCCTGCGCCTTCGTCCAAGTCTTCCTCTTCATCCTCCTCTTCCTCCAACCCGTCCTTCCCCGGGCTGGGGGAAAGCACAGTACTCAGGGGCGGCGCCTGGCCCAGCCTGGCCATGGATGCCTGTGGGGAGACGCTCCTCACCCTGCATCTGGCCTCTCAGCCACACTAGCCTTCCCACACACCGCTGTCCCCGCACAGCCTGCTCCTCTTGCTGCAGGCCCCCCCCCCCCAGGTTCCAGACCAATTCTGTGCCCCCATCATGAAGCTGGGCGGGCTGTGCCACCAAGCAGCGAGATCCAGCACATTTATGGAGTGGACAAAGACCAGACCGCCGAGCAGGCACCCGCGAGGCGCCATCACAACAAGAGGGCGGGCGTGGGTGGGCACACCCGTGTCCTAGGGCTCACCTCTTCATCACCTCGCTGTCCACCATGGAACTGTCCACCACCAGGATCTGCTCCGGGATCCTGACATCCACAGAGATGAGGCCCAGAGACCAAAGGGTCAAGGCGGTCACACAGTACCCTCCAGGGCTGTCCAGAGAAAAGGCCACCATGTCGGCCGGGGGGTCTCCATCATTCTGGTCTTTGAAGGAGAAAGGATCCGACTGGTCCAGCTTGCCGGCAGCCCGGAGTCTGTCAAAGAACTGGAACGATTCTACGCAGATGGTGCTGGGAAATCGCCAGGTGAAAAGCCTACATGGGCAAAAGCAAAGTTAGGGCTGGCTGAGGCCCAGCGATAACTGGGCCCACAGCACCTTGGTCACTGTGGTCAAGCAGCGTGTGTTCCCCGGGCCCTCCACTTCATCCTGCAAGGAGGCACAGTGTCTGCGCCCAGCAGTGCCCGTTCCCTTCTTCCCACCCGGCCAGCGGTCTCAGGCAGGGTCCTCCACTCACCCTAACCCACAGCCCTCGCCTCACCCTAGAGGCTCCCACTACAACAGCTGTGGAGCTAGGCGGGATGAGTCCTTTGGCGACAGTAACTGGCCACAACCAGGGGATCTCACACAGGGACAGGGCACGTGCTCCAGCTGGCTGTCTCCAGAGGCTGCCAGAGTAGGCCTTGCTATGACACTGTCGCTATAGTGAGGAGAAGGGTGCGCCACCAAGGCTCACGACACGTGCAGTGGGGAAGTGGGTGTCAGATGGCCTCACAGGATTGGGTGCTTCTGGGGCTGTGTCACTCTCCCAGTGGGTAAAGGAGCCTGAGGGTCACTAGGGTGACTGTAGGAAGTAGCAGTGCTGGGAGCCAGAGGCAAAGGAGCTGAGACTCCTGACGCTCTGTCACCCTGCCTCTCTGCAAGTGGCCCAAGCCCCAGTGCAGATCGCAGCAGCAGATGCTGCCTGATGGGTCTTCCAGGACTTCCTCTGCACGAGGCCAGGAGGCTGGCGGCACCAATACCGAACGCATGAGCAGCAGAGCCAGCTACAGCAAGAGTCGTGCTGCAAGGAGCTCCTCCAACTGCGAGGGGCTCTGCTCTGTGCACGGCCCCACCGAGCCCTGCAGGTTCCAGCCCTGCAGATGGGCCGACAGGCAGCTTCACAGGCTGAGCCACAAAGCGCCAAAAGCGACTTCTAAGTGGACCTGCTGTAGCACGTGGCACTGACTCTCCCCATCTGGCCACAGTACCTGATATGCAGCCTACCCTAACATAGTCCTGGCGCTGGCCCTGGCTTGCATTAGCAGGAGGCCAGCGATGACCAGTGAAGGCCTCCGTGACCTGCATCTCTCACACAAGCCAGAAGTGCTCTCAGATGAAGAGGCAGCTCGCCAGGCCCTGGACCCACCTGTAGTAGGACTGGGACAGCTGGTAGGACATCGGCACGAAGGGCAGGGCCCGGTTCTTCTTGGGGCCCTGAGTGTTGTTGACGCGGCACCGGTTGACCAGGCTCCTCTTCTGACACTCCATGAAGGCCCGTACCAGCACCGGCTCCTTGTACTCACGGAAGAGGCGGAATGTCTAGAACAGCGGGAGGGGAGTGTGGGTGGGTCGGGGAGCGGCAGTGCGTGTGAGCGTGCGGGAGAGATCCCAGGGACACTGTGACCACTACATTACAGACAACTGGAGAAGGGAAGGCCATGCACCCACGCCTGGCTTTGGATGCAGAGAATCGGCTGAGCATCAGCAGGGCCACCCTGGCATCACTGTCCCTTGGCCTCACAAGCAAGCACTGGCAGGTCTGCTTGGCTTGAGCTTCAGTGTGTTTCCAACTATTACACTAAGGCTTAGATCCAGATGTCCTGCCAGGGCCTTGCACACTCACAGGTGGGGTTCCGAGTGACTGGAGTGTGTGTGTGTGTGTTTGTGTGTGTGTGTGAGACAGAGAGAGAGAGAGAGAGCGTGAGCAAGAAAGACACATACACAGAGAAAGAAGCAAAGACACAGAGACACACAGTGAAACAAAGAGAGAGACAGAGAGTGAGTTAGGGGCTGACTGGGTTAGCACGGCTCGAGGAGAGAATGATGGGTCCACCCTGCCTGCGTGGGGTGGCACTAACCACGACTTGGAGCCTGCATTCAATAAAGCAGAGAAGAGGACGGCTGTGTGCTGCCTCCTGGTGCCACGCTGTGGGCTATTTCTCCCCGTGATGCCCTGTGCCGTGCCACCCTGGCAGCCAGCTGACTAGACTGAAACCACTACAAACTATGAGCTAAAATAACTCTCTCCTCCTTGGACTTGTGGGTGTCAAGCAACTAAGACGCCAGCACCTCCACTATCACCCTCTGGTCCAGGCTACCACGGCCCACCACAGCTCCCAGCCACCCGGCCGCCCTGGTTCTCCTTCCTGCCAGCTCCTGACCACCTGCGACAGCAGCCCAAGTAACCTGTCTAGGTACAACCAGACGGCGTGTTGCTTTTGCTTGGAAAACCCCAGCGGCTTCCCTCTGCGTCGGCGGTCAGCCTTCCGAGGCCCTGCCGGACCCGGTGAGCCCTCAGCGCAGCCCTCTGCCCTGCCCTCTCACGAGTACCCCCTGGCTTACCACCTGCAACTCCGTGGCCCACTGACTTTTCTGGAGAAAGCCAAGGCCTACCTGCCTCAGAGACCCCCATCCGGTACTGGCCCAGGCCTGTGCGTGGTGGCCGACTCCAGGGCTCTGCTCACACTTCCGCTCCAAGCCAAGTCCCACCTGTCCCACTCCCCTGCAGGTCGCGGCAGCATGTTCCCTGTTCCACACTCTGCAGTGGCTGCCTCTTCCTTGGAGGGGCTCATCTGCATCCTCCCTCCCAGGCAGGCCCAGCCCGGGTCCCCCGAGGTGCCCAGCGGACAACATATGCTGGAGGTGGAAACTCCTCGTGCTGCAGAGGCCCCTCTGCTGACCACGCCATGGTCCGAGAGCTCCAGGCTCAGAAGGCTCTCAGATGGCACCGCTCCCAAGACCCCTAAGTGACACACTGCAGCCATGCTACTGGGCAGGGGTGGCATCAGGGAGAGAAGAGTGGCCTCGCCATGTGAGGGCAGAAGGCTCAGGTGGGACACGGAGGCTGCACAGCCCTGGGTCTCGACGGTGCTGGCCACCAGCCTGGGTGAGCGGACACTCGGTGCTCAGGGGGGCCAGCCCAAGGAGCCCGTGGTGGTTCCAACACGTTCTCTCCCAGCGGAACTCCAGGGTAAGCGGATTCTGTACCAAGGTTTCCACTTGCTCGTACAGATGGGACAAAAGCCCCCAAACACCACTGCTGAGAAGAGGCTCTCAAGCACCCACGGTGACTTGGGGACTGAGATTCACTGCCGCACGCCAGAGGCTGGGCTGGCACAGGCAGCCGCCCCACGGCGCCTGGCACACTCACAGCTCCCACCCTCTTCCCTGTGCTGTGGCAGGGGGCCTCTGACGTCACTGTTAAGGCCTTCAGTCCTCACCACCAGGTGTGGCCTCACCAAGGAAGCCCCCTGCCTCCAGGGAGTCTTTCTCCTCCCAAACCCAGGGCTTGTGCACCCCCGTCAGAGCCAGGAAGCCAGCTAGGGAGGGACTGGAGGAGAGGCCTAGGGATCCTCGGTTCTGCTTTTGCCCTCAGCGGGCTGTTAACTATTCTCTTCCCTCTTGGACTGGGCTTTCTCATCTGAGGCAGTGGCAGGAAAGGCCCCCCGGGGCCCTGGGCCAGGAGGGGGCAGGAGTCCCCTCCACAGCTGCCAGGCTACCCAGAAAGCTAGATTCTTATGTGCGGCGTGTGTGATAAATTTAAAAATCAGGTTTTTGTTGTTGTTTTTAGTTTTTTGAGACGAGGTCTTGCTTTGCTGTTCAGGCTGGCCTTGAATTTGTGACGATCCTCTTGCCTGGGCCTCTTGCATGCTGGATTGCAGGCGTGCGCCACTACACCCAGCACTGTTGTTTTCTCATACACAAGTAGGGCTCCAACCAAGCTCAGGGCCAGACAGGGCCTGCACTGTCCTCTGAGGAGTACTGCCCTCCCCTGCCTATTCTTGTGCGGGCGAACTGGGCCGTCCTCTTCGGCTGCCAAGCACTGGGATGGCTGTGAGGCACCAGCACCAGAGCAGCCGCGCACGCTGGAACCCGCCCTGAACTGCATGGCACTGCCCGAGAAAGCCCAGGGCTCACAGGGTGCAAGGCCAATGCATGGGGGCGTGCTCTGACCCAGAGGTCCAGGAGGCTCCAGGGCTGCAGGGCAGGGGCCTGGCTGTCCCGTCACATGAGGGGCCCAGGGTGAGGCCCAGGAGCAGGGCAGGTGAGCCTGCCCGCGCATTTTCCTTAAATCACCACCTCTGCTGGGCCTCATCCAGTCCTGCAGTAGAAGGAGCAGGCACAGGCCTGGGAGGTTTGCAGTCTGCTGGCATTGCCTCCGGTGGTCCCTGGCCCCTCGCAGGATCTGGGGACTGCGGGCAGAGACACCAGCTAGGCCTCACCCTCTGTCCTGGCTGCCCCACGCAGCACCCAGGAGCCCCAGCCCCAAAGTCTGGGACCAAGCTCACTGGTAGACTCGGGCCACAGAAGCCCCTGGCTTCCTTCATTTGCTTCCCTCCTCCTGATCTCAGCTGATACGCTGACATAGCCAACAGGGCAGCCTGCTAGGGCTACAGATTCAATACAAAGCACAGACCAGCTCCCAGGCTCTCGGTACGGCTACGCAGGGCTGGCCTTCCTCCCTCCTCTCATCCACAATCAAGCAGCAGTGTGGCCTCCCAGAGGCCCCCCGAAGATGTATGAGGCACCCTCCCTCGGAAGGCAGTGCCCCACCGCCAGGACCACCAGCCACCCTGACAGGCGGCAATTTGGAAAGGGACGCCCTGCAGCTCGTCGGCCACACCTGCTCATTTCCTTACCCGCTTAACTTTCTCTCTGAAATCTGAGAGCTACAACCACAGCTCTGGGAGGGCCTCTTGGGGCCACTGAATGCTGTGCCCACTCCTTAAGGATGACAGGAAGACGGGTAACCCTGGTCAAGGCAGGTCCCAAGCTCCAAGCATGCAGGACGAGCCAGCTCTGGAGAGCTGATAGTGTGTGGCATGCGACTGTAGGTGACAGCCTGGTCCTGCGTGTGAAATGTGCCAGGGCGGGTCCAGTGTTCCCACCACCGTAAGGCTGGCACGTGACAGACAGCACAGGCGTATGAACTAGTGGCTATGGCAACCGCCTCCTGATGTCCGTCAGCTCATCCAGCTATGTGCCCTGAATGTGTAATATGAAAATAAATGGAAGCTAAACAAAACCCCAACGAGGATCCAAGCAGCAAGGGGGCAGGAACAAGCACCCCTGGGCCCAGCCCCACCCATGCCACTGAAGCCGGGACCCACCTGGAAGGACTGGCAGGACTTCATCTGGGTGTTGGACAGGGACAGCGTGCTCTGGATCAGGTTCTGCAGCACCAGGAAGTGGATGTCCTCCACGCTGAAAGAGGACAGGGCGGCGTGGAGCTCAGCAGCACGTGCTCGGCTCATTTCAGGGGACATGGTTCTCAGGTACCTGAGTTCGCAGCCTCCCAGGTAACATGGACAGCAGGAGGGCTCCAGCCCTCCCACACAAAGTGGTATTTTTATGCCTTAAGCACCTCGTCAAGTTTTTTGGGAAAAAGTTTTCTCCCAGTGGGTGAGGGGCGCTACAGGACAACAAATCAAGGCAGGTAGCGCACGCATTTTCCCTCTAAGTAAGGCTTTCTCCAAGGAGCACAGTGTCCTACTGAATCACTGCATACTGATTACACAAGAAGTGACTTCATAAAGGCCGGACTTCGCTTGCAAAGCTTGCGAAGGGCCCAGGCTTCTCCCTGCAGCACCCGAGGGCTTGGCCAGTGGTGGCTGAGGTCAGAGGTTGGTGAGCTTTTTAGAAAGCATCAGACACCCGATACTCTGTCTTGGGGTTTTATGGTCTCTGCTGTGGCCAACACTCAGCCTTGGGGCCAGGCTGGGTGGGCCTGCGGCCAGCCCAGTCCCACAGCCCCGCACCACGCCAGGGCCTACCTGCTGAGCTCGTCCTCCTGCTTCATCTGGTATTTCTCATCTCCAATTGCCAGCACTCGGTACCTGTGCGAGAAACAGGAGACAACCATGTGGCAGGCAGAGACCTCACTCCACTCACTAAGCTGATGGATGCTCACTTGGTTCCAGGCTGAGGGGCTGAGGGATCGTCAGACTCATCTAAGCTGAATGCTACACGCTGCTGTGAAGGAGAACCCTGCGCTGTCTGGAGGAGGGGGCCCGACAGCGCATGGCACAGCCAGCAGGCCACAGGCTGCTGCTAACAGCAGGAGGGAAAGCCGGGTGATCAAAACACAAGCGCTTGTGATTAATACCAGGAGATGAAGAAACGCCCCTCAGCCACGCACCCAGGCCAATCACCAGGAGGGGCCGGCTTTTAGGAGGCAGCGGAATCTAGACTTGTGATGGGTTCAGTCTACCGCTGGGATGGGGGCTGCGAGGGCTACACCAGCCCTGGGGCAGGCAGCCTGCATACAACAAAGGGCACAGCAAGGAGGCGGCTTCTGCCTTCTGCCACTGTGAACTGCTGCCCTCTGCTGCACCACCCTGCTTTGGAGCCAGCTAATTACCAACTGAAACCTCCACGAACTGAGAGCCGGTGTTACGTACTTGGCCTCAGTAAAGGGAGGACAGTGACCAAGACCGTCAGGATCAAAATCAGTGCTAAACCGCCACAACTGCAACTTGTTCTTTCCAAGACGGTTTGGGAACACTCCTCTGAAAATTTTTTTTTTTTTTAAATGTCTTCTTTGAAAACTAAAAGTTGCCCTACAACATTATTGAAAATAGGAGGGGACGTAAATTACAAGTAGGTAAGCGAGTCACTGACACGCCGCTGAGGCAGACGTCAATCACCGTCTGGGAATTCTGGACCCTGGTTCACTGCAGAACAAAAACCAAAGCCAAAACCCAGCGAGCAGAGGCTGGCGATGGCTCAGTGGTCTAAAGCACCTACTTAGAACAAGCTAAGCAAAGCACAGGGACCACGGTTCGATCCCCCAGCACCACATGCCAGCCAGCCCCGCCCCCTGCTGGGCTGAGCTGGCCACACACACACACACACACACACACACACACACACACACACACAAATAAATAAATAAATAAAAAAAAAAAAAAAAAAAAAAAAACCTGCGAGCAGCTGACTACAACATGACTGTGATGACTACAGACCCCCCACGTGGCCTGACGGCTGGGGGACACTGCCTCCCGGCTTGCTGAGTGGGTGCAGGATGCGCTCTCTGTGGACGAGGGAGCAGAGACCACGAAATGCACGGGAGGCGCCCGCAGAGGAACCGCCTCCACAGGGGGGGACTTGAGGTACGGCCCATCAGGTGGTGGGGAGCAGGGATTCACCTTTGCGTGAGGCTGAGAACTTCAGATTTTAAAATTTCGCCCAGTTGTGCTCACACAAATACGTTCTTTCAGAACTGGAGCAGCTGAGCCAGGAGGGGCGGGGTTCTGGAGCCAGGCGCTGCTGCTCCGAGCACGCGGAGCCTGGGCTTAAAGGAGGAACACACTCCTCCTCGCTGGGCGGGGGCTGTACAGGACCCGGAACATCAAGCTGGTGCCCTGAATATCCCCCAAAGGCCTGCACCCTCTTACTACATCTTGAAGCATCCTGACATACAAGGTGGGAAAACAGCAAAAAGTAGTCCGGCAGACACAGCCTGACTAAAGTCCAAGAAGGGATTTCACAGGAGCGCAAGGGCCGGGGCTGCCAGCAAGGGCAGCTTGTCCCTGCTTCCCAGTCACCCGAGAGAGCAGATGGCCCCCGCAGAGTCCCCGCAAAGCCAATACCACAAGGCTGGTGTCACAGCTGCCCAGACCAGCTGACGCGGGAGAGGCGTGGGCATGGCCTGCTGCCTCCCAGCTCCTGCCTGTGGTGACCAAGCAGAACCAACCCAGCAGCACCTACCTGGCAAACAGCTCCTGCAGTGTGTCTGGGATTTCAAGGTTAGAATTCCTTAGAGCGGAACTGAACTTCTCTTTCAGCCTCTCCACAAATTCTTTAAACTCGCTGGCGCAAACCTTTCACAGAGAGGGGACGTTAATACTTTCTCCTGGTGACAGCCCTGAAGATGTACTAAGAAACACCTGCGACAGATGTCCACAGCCACAGGAAGATGTGCTGTGCCCAGGAGCACCGACCACACTGCATGCCCCGCTCCGCTGGAGGGCCCTGTGGGCTCAGTCCCGCCTGGATGCACCTCACAGCTACTGGCCTTGCACCCCCGCACCTCACTCTCACAAACAGCCTTGTCCATGTGGCTCCGTACCATGCTGCTGCCGGCTCACAGTACTCCTTGGGCATCTGCCCTTCTTTCTTCCTCGCAGCCCCTGAGCACAACCCAGAGCCAGCACCCCAAAGCCTCAGGATGCTTGCTCCAGGGCTCTGCCATCTCACCAGTGGGGCAGGCTGCAACTCAGCAGGGGAAGGCAGAACCCTCCGCCTCCTGGAATGCAGTGGAGGCCCCGCACTAGACACATTCTGCCCAGGTGCCCAGGCCTGCGGCCCCTGCTCTACACAGAGCTCCTCCCCCACTTTTCCTGCCCCATATTCTGTGGTGAAGCCTCCCCACTACAGGAGCAGACCGACAATGCAGGGTGACTTCAAGGGTGGAATCGATGACCACGAGGCCGGAGCGTGAGGTGAACCTGAAGGCGCTGCTTCGCCGCACAGCACAGTGTGGGGGTCCCCTACCACCTCCCACCCGTGTGGCGTGCAGGGAGAACCAAGTCCTCGGCCTCCACGGGAATGGCATCTGACAGCATTCTGGGTCACCTCGCTGACCTCACAGGCCTGGCTGTGTTGTGAGGCAGGAAGTGGCGACTTCTCTGCCTGTCCCATATGCCCCTGGCTTCTTCCTGGTGAGGCCTGTGCCTCCTCCTCCCAGGAACCCGGCCTGACCCGTCAGGGAGTGGGGACGAGCAGAATGGGCCCCCGCGTCTGTAGAGATGGTCTCCTGCCTTGTCAGCTCCACCTGCCCGCATCCCACATGGCAGACACAAAAGCAGCTGTCCAGGAAGGCTGGCTGCTCATAACTGCCCCACAGCAGCCATCTAGGAAGGCTGGCTGCTCATAACTTCTCTACAGCTGTCTTATGTTCTTTTTTTTTAATATCTCCTTTTTCTTTTTCTTTTGTTTATTTATGAGTGTGTGTGTGTGTGGGGGGCAGCTCAGCCCACCAGGGGGCGGGCTGGCTGGCATGTGGTGCTGGGGATTGAACCGTGGGCCCTGGGCTTTGCTAAGCTTGTTCTAAGTAGGTGCTTTAGACCGCTGAGCCATCTCACCAGCCCATGTCTTATGTTCTTAAAAAGATGGGCCTGAGGGCCTGGCCAGACCTCAACACCAGCCAGGCTGGACCTGCTGCTGCTGCTGCTGCACGGGACCTACCTTTGGGTCCTCGTAGTCACATTTTCGGTTCATGAAATCTCCAACCAGGGCTTTATCCTGGTACACCTCAGCCAGGCAAACTCTACAGGAGCAAGATGGAAGTGAAAAAAATACATATTGTTAGTATCTGTTGGTCTGTGAAAGGAGCAGTTGATGCTTAAAAAAAATTTTTTTACTCTAATTTTATCTCCTCTTTTGAATTTCTTATAGCTTGCTATTGTTTTGTTATTTTCTTTAAAGAAATCTTGCACATTTATATCTGGTAATCTCATTTAAAGACAGCATTGGGGGCCAGGGAGATGACTCAGTAGAATAAGGGCTTCCCTGGCAAGCGCCAAGGGTCTGAGCTCAATCCCCAGTTCCGCAAAAAAAAAAAAAAAAGATAGCATCTTCTAATACAGCAACCCTTGTTGAATTCCTATTATTTGTTTAGTGAAGTCTTATGTTGTTTTTAATATTTTTTCTATCACTATTTTGTATTCTTTAAAATTGAAAAAAAGTGAAAAAGAAAAAAAGACAAGTGACATCTGGGGCTCACACTGGTGTCTACACGGGAGGGAAGACTTCTATCCGTGCATGCACGGCTGTGGTTGATGTGACTGCCGCGTTCACAGGCCTGCGGGATGCCGGGTGCTCTGGGGTGAGCTGAACCTGACGAAGTGAGGCTGGCCCCTGCCCACGCCGCACCTAGGGCCTCCCTGGGCATCTGGCTTCTGCTGGGAAACAGACATCCACCTATGCCACTCCCTGGTCTATCGGGGCTCTGGCCAGGACCGAGTGAGGTGTGTGACAGAACGAGGTGCTCGTGACCTCTCAAAGGTCTATCTCCCAAGCACTGTTGGTCCACCCACAAATTATCCTGCAGTGTTACAAGGCAAGTCTGACATGCCCAAGGGAAGAAAGGAGGCCACCAGGGACATAAGCTCTGGCTGGCTGCAGGCGTGTGCAGCCTAAAACTGACACAGGGCCACCTCCTTTCTGTTCCACTCTTTCTGGCTTCTCCACATCCTGATCTTGGGTGGCGGCACCGGGTCCCTCCCTACACTCATGGAGGGAACGGCAGGAGGGTCCAGGGGGCTGGCGTTGCTCCGCCACCTTGGCCTGTGAGGAGCCGGTGGGCAGCCTCACTCACTGCCTGCCAAGAAGCCATCAGGTGCACACTGGGGCTCATGCGGCTGTGCAGGGCAGCCTGCACCCAGCACACCCCACACTCTGCTCAGATGAGCTCAGCATGCCCTGCAGCCGGGAGCCTCATCTCTTCCCCAACTTCACAAAGGTTCTCTAAAGCCCAGTTTCTGGAAGCGCCCAGAACATGCTTGGCCCTTGACCAGCTGAGAGTCACAAACCCCGCACCCAGACAGCCTGCTGGAAGGCTGGTGGGCTTCACCCAGATGTCACCTCCACCTGAGTAAGTGGAGGCAGAAGCGGAGAAAACAGCAATCTACATGAATTGGAATAACCATGCCCTGGCCCGACCCATGCTTACTTATAGTTCAGGTAGGCCTGTGGGTTTCTGACGATGTAGCGAGCCCTCCGTCCAACTGAGTGGGAGGTTTTGTCAAGTGACTCTTCAAAGGTGGCATGTAGGATGTCCCTCACAACCTGCCAGGGGACAAATGGGCCCTTCACCTGCAAAGATAGAGCAAAGATGGACAGTTACTACCAAGGGACCCACTCTAGGGGAAACTAATGAAAAAACGCGTCCCACTGAGCCCCTTTCCTCAGCGAGGACACAAAGCTGTCCCTCTCAGGGTCGCCCAGCCACTAACTGGACCTCGGCTGTGTCCAGGGGTAACGTCGTTTGGCAAGTAGCTAAGGAGGCGCCCTGAGGTGCAGGGTGAGCAACAAGCTAGGGAGGTTACGGAACACCGCGGTGCTCAGCAGACTTTACGCTCCGCCGGCCAGGAGCCGCCGTGCTGTACGCTGCACACCATAGAAAGAGAACGAAGCGCGTTAGCAGGCTCACCACTGCAGAGAAGCACACAGGAAGGTGCGCACCGACCGGAGACTTTCCTCAGAACACTGAGGATAAGGTGACTCAGCAAGACCGTGTAAATCCTGGTGGGTGGGCAAGGGGGGGGCCGCTGCCTCTGCTGCCAACTCCATGACAGAGGCCCCAGCGAGTGCAGGGAGCACAAGTCAGGGATGCCATGGGTTGCCCCGCAGAAGGCAGGGACAAGGTGAGAGCACAGCACACGTGGGCCTGGTACCGAGCGCCGTGGGCCTGCCAGCCCTACCCAGGTCTCTCCTGGCTGCCTCGGGCCAGCTGTGCCCGGCTCAAGGAGCCGCCTCTGCCTGGCTGGTTACTGCCCGCGAGGGGCCTTGGGCAGAACAGAGCAGAGCTTGCTCGCTCGTGGCCTCTGTGAAGCAGTTTGGCTGGACATTGGCCTGTGCCCCGCTGCCAAGTAAGGCCACCAGCACAGCACCAAGGAGCCAGAGTGTGGAGCCAAAGTGAAGAAAAGTGGGGTGGGGAGAGCGCTGGCTGGAGCTTCCAGGACAGCAGGAAGAAGTGCTCGGGAGAGGGAGGCTAAGCTGCCCGCACCGCCTGGGCATCGGACACAGGGCAGGCGAGCGTGGGGCCTGCGGCACAGGAGGCAGGCGGCTGCCCATCGCCGGGCCTCACACATCCAGCTGGTAGTGGCACCACACTTGGGGCTGTGGCCAGGACGCCTACGGGCAAGTGTCTCTGCCTACAGGATCAGCCACTCCCAGGGCCGTAAGCTCCAGAAGTGGAAAGAGTCCAAGGAAGAGAGGGAGAAGCCGGCAATCGCCTCCACTAGCGGGATCAACAGAGGTTCTCAGACACGGTGAGTGTTACTGCAAGATGAAGAGGCATTTCTTGGGCAGCAGGCGGCAAGGGAGAGAACAGGGAGGGTGAGGCTCTGACGGGAAAACAGCCCTGCACTGTTGGGCAAAAGCTTGGAGGTATGCAGCTGAAGGCTGGGAGGAAACGTGCCACCTGGGAAGGGAATCTGCGGCGATCTGGGAAGCGCCTTTCCCGGGGGGCGGGGGGCTGCCGAGGGGAGTGCTGCCGAGGGGGGAGCTCCAGGAGGGGCGGGGCGGGCACCTTGCTGTTGAGGACGTTGCTGGCGATCCGGCAGAGCATGAGAAGCCCGTCCTCCTGCATGGTCCAGGAGACGCGCAGCCGCGTCATCCTCCGCAGGGCGCTCTGGTCAGCCTCGTCGTGGTAGCGTGTCCTTTTGACTGTGGTTCCTGGGACCTCCTCTACAAACACCAAGGGGACATCAGCTGTCACATGCAAAGTAGAGGGGCTCCGCCCACAAGGCCCTGGGCAAGCGCAGCAGTGACCAGCCTCTCACCGTGTCCACCCTCACCCAGGGGAACACTGACCAGCCTCTCACCCAGGGGAACACCGACAGGCTTTCTCCCACCTTGCTCCGGTTACACTGCTTGGTGACAGGCTGGGCCGCCTGAGCGTGGCCTCTAGTTATCTGCCAATCCGTGGCTCCCAGAGGATGCCACATCCTATCCTAGGAAGGTGCCTGGCATAGACCACTGAGTGAGGCCATCGACAGGGCAGCCACCAGGGCTGCCATGGCCTGGGTGGGTAACCTCTTGTGGGCCATGGGACGTGTCCTGTGCTCAGTGTGGAGCGACAGTGGGTACAGTGCCTGTTGCAGCCTGTGGCACAAAGGACAGCTAAGTGGACAACAGCGGTCAGCAGCTTTACGGAACACTCCCTGTACACTGAGCCCGGGCTAGGCTTTCCGTACACGTGCACTGGCTCTACTTGGCAAGGACCCCTGAGAGGGGTGCAGTCGTCACTGCCACTGTAGCACCCAAGCCCCGAGTCACACAGCTCCAACCGGCAGCCATGAGCTGAGCCTGGGCCCTCAGCCTGGGCCTCTCCAAGGTCTTCTGCCCCTCGGCCAGGAAGACTACACACTCCCAACTTTGGAAGGCTGTTGTGGTGTTTTTCCAACCAAGACAGATGACAAGGGAGGTAAAGAACTCTCAATTCAAAATGACACCACCACCACCACCACCACCACCACCACCACCACCGCTGACCTCGTGACAAATTCAATCCGCGTGAGCTAACCCGGCGCAGATGTATCAGCAGTGGCCTGAACGAAGGAGGCCACTTCATTTCACGGCTGGCACGTGGAGCTGCCTGCACTAACCAAATACACCATGAAGGGGGGTTCTGTTTAGGCACTGTCTTCTCTGACATGACTAGAGCCGTGAGATTTTCAATAAAACAAATGGCCCACTTGAGCAATACCAAGTGGCCTAAAAAGGAGACACCAACATCGCAACCACCCCATGTCTTTCTGCTATAACTTCTACTCAGCAAGCTGGCCCTGGATTATGGGGTCGTGCCTGTAACCCCAGCACTTGGGAGGCTGAAGCAGGAGGACTGACAGGCTGGGCTGCATAGTGAGTTCAAGGCCAGCCTCAATTACACAGAGAGATCCTGTTTCAGAAAATAACAAAACAAAACTGCGGATGAAGCAACCAAAACGACAAACACAAGCTGCATGGGTGGCCAGACCTGGCAGGCCGAGAGGGCTCCCGGCTTTCCTCCAGGCTGAGCCGCACCTGAACGCAGCTTGAACTTGGCCTGAGAAAGGTAGGCGTAAAGGCAAGCCAAGAGGAGAGGGCGCTCTGGTGCGCTGTGAGGATTTTTCACAGGGCTTTTGTCAGCTAAGGAAGGTAGAAATCTGATCTGAAGGCAGTGCTGCGGGAAAGGCCCACAGGACAGAAGGCAGAGGAGGTGGGACGGGCAGTCTGCAGGGTGGTGTGGAGGGTGAAATGTGTTCTACACAGGGGGAAAACAGGCCCTGTGTCAGAGGGCAGAGCCCAGCCTCGACTGGAGCGACACTGTCCATGACCCGTGACATGCTTGTGACTCTCACCTTTTCTCTTCCGCTTCATCTTCTTGCCAAGGTCCTTCTTCAGCCGCTTGCGCTTCTGGTTTCTGCCACCCTTCACCCTGTGGCTGCGGCCCTGCGTGGGCTCACGCTCCGTCCCAACCTGCTCCTCCTGGTGGGCAGAGGGCTCATCGCCAGCCTTTGCCTCCCCCCAGAGGCCCTGCTTGCTGCTGCCTATGAGGAAGCACAGGGCAGAGCAGCTGAAGGGCGAGCCCCGCAAAAGCCCGAGGAGCCACACAGTGGGCCCGCCATCGCTCTGGCCCGGACCACCACGGCTACTTGTGGGTGGGCACCCAGCACATGTACCTGCAGATCCGAGGGGCGGAGGGCGCTTGGACAGAAATGTCTGCAGCCTCACCGTGAGCCCGTTCTCCGCAGTGTTGTTCTCCTAGACAGAAAGCACTGGAGTGAGGAGCAAGCTGCTGCGGCCCATGGCCAGGGTGTCTGCACAGGCGGTGAGCGGCAGACCTCCCAGCCACTGTCGCTCACATATGCCACCTAGGACTCTTCTGTAGGAATGTCACAGAACAGGCCAGCATCCACTGGGACCTCTGGCTCAACCTAATGCGCCTTCAACATGAGTGTAAGTCCAGGCCTCTGGCCCACTCTAGTCGTACCAACTCAGAAGTCGTGTGCCAGGAAGGGACACAGTGACAGCGAGTGGAAACAGCAGCCTCCGGGGGCCCCCAGCTCACCTTTTTGGATTTGTTGATGATATAGCTGGTCCAGATCCAGTTGCGCTTCAGGTGTGCATAGAAGCTGGAGTCGAGCCCAGCGGCTCCCAGCCCATCGCCCGGGATCTGGCCTTCATCTACCACCTCGCGGCTGCCCCTGAGACAGGAACACAGAGCCGGGTGATGGTGGGAACTTCTAGCAACAGGCGCAAGTGGGGGACCTGGAGCCCCAGCGCTGGCAGGTGCCACTTTTTCACAAGTTAAAACAAAACAAAGCAAAAAAAAAAAAAACTCCAAAAAACAAAAAAGGGGGCTGGGGAAATGGCTCAGTAGAATAAGCGCTTGCCTGGCAAGCGCAACGGACTGAGTTCAATCCCCAGTTCCACCAAAAAACGAAAACAACAACAACAAAAAAACACCAGACATATCTGTAAAATGCCAACTTCTAAATTTTGACTCCAAAAATAATGGAACTTTAAAAAGCACAGTAACACTTGGGAGGCTGAGGTATAGAGCCCAGCCCCAGCACCTCAAGGAGACCCCAAAATAACAAAAGGTCGGGCATAAGGGCCAGGCGTGGTGACACACGTGCCTGTAATCCCAGCGCTGGGGAGACTGAGGCAGGGCTGTTTTGAGCTCTGGATCAGCCTGGCCACAAAGTGAGCCACAAGGCCAGCCTGAACCACACAGCAAAGCACCTCAACAAACAACCTCCCCAAAGGGGTGGGGGGGCTGAGGATGTAGCTTAGCCCCTGTACCAGAAAAAGCAGGTGGCGGTGCTACATAAACCACACCGAGGTACAGGAAGACCTGCAGCAGCCACGGCCTCTAGCCAGGCGTGGCCTGGGGACTCCAGGCAGGGACGCACATGGTGTACTCCTGCATAGCACTCTTGCGCTCCAGGTTGTGCTTGTCAATGGCGCTCTCCTGCTCCTTCCTCAGGCCGCCCTCCTCGCCGCCCTGCTCTGCACTGTTCCTGGAGGCACCCGAGCATCGCACCACACCTAGAGGGCAAACAGAACCAAGCACAGGTGAGCACAGCGTGCTGCTGGGCGCTGCCAGCCTGTGAGACCGTGCCCCGCCCCGGAGGGGGCTGGAACTCACAAAGCCAGGTAAGGGCCAGGCAGGCAGGCAGCCAGGGGAAGCCCATCCTCTCGGACGCACAGCCCGGGACAGCAGGAGGCCGGCGGAGTTGGTGTGGACCAGTGTGGCAGAAAGGATGCCACTTGGTGGCGGCGGTGGGAGGTCAGGGAAGGATGCGATCTGGACACACAGCCCAGACTCTTGCTGTCTCTGGCACCTACTTGGCACCGGGAACAGCCAGCTATTTCCTAACTGCTCAAGAGGTGCAGTTACAGTTATTTTCGGTTATTCCGCAGTAGAGAAAATCACATTTCTTGCAAGGAAACATAAAACAGCTGGCCCGCTGCACGCGTAGGTGAGGGAAGGCTGTGTCATGTGCTATCTGTAAAGACCCTCTCAGGCTGACACCTCAGCCTGATGGCCTGGCTGGAGGCGGGCGGGGATGCACAAGTGCCCATGCTGCCCCCCTCAGCTGGCACTGCGCCAACCCCTGCTCAGCTTCCCTTCAGCCCTGAAAGAGGTTGGTGCAATTTGTGGCTATAAGGCTAGGGGAGGTCACAAAGAGCTGCCCAAGGTCATCACACATCTGAACAAGTCCCCACGAAAATTGCACCAAGGCAATCTCTGGGCAGGGCCCAGGGCCCAGCATTCTCACGTGCTGCTTGGTATTTTCTGTGCAATCTGGAGGGTTTTTTAAAAATGTATTTTAGTATAGGGTTTATAGGGTCTCACTTCACAGAATGGACTGGTAGTGATTCTCCTGTTTTCAGCCTCCCAAGTACTGGGATTAAAGGCATGTACTAGCATGCCTAGTCTCAATCACTGTCTCAGCATGCCCCAGGGGCAGGGCTGGCACAGCACGCCGGGGATCAAACCCCAGTCCCTGCGCCTGCCTAAGCAGGTGCTTCAGTCCACTGAGCTATCTGGCCGGCCCCTAAAAAGCTGGAGTTTGGGAAGCATCAGCTTTACAGCATGACGAAGACGTTATCTGATGCTTTCCCCCATTTTGGGGGGACAGAACGTCTTCAAATGCGTGGTGGCTGAAGGGACAATCAATGCTTGATTAGCGGGGCAATAAGCCTTCAATCTCTTTGCTCGTGAACGCTAAAATGGATGGTTATTCACTAACTGCCAGGCCTGAAAAGTTCTGATGCAAATTACATGCTGGTTCATGAATTTTTACCTAGGCATAAAGTATGCAGGAATTAGGGCACTTCTAAAATCTAGAATGGAAAGAGCCTGATCACTACTGAATGCTGAAGGGCTCTAAGAAGCACACTGCTAATTTTGCCTGAACCCCTTAACATCTCTAAATGCAAGGGCTCATTACCCTGTTGGTCCTGAATAATTCTCCCAAATAAACATGTGACACCAGCTTTGCAAAAGTAAAAGTAGTAGTGATCTTGCAGCTCTGTGAAACGAATTAACAGAACACGATTCCTCCTCCAAGTGCAAACCCCACAGCACCCTCCTCCTGGTGAAGGTGGCGGGGAAAGGTAAGGGGAGAAGGGAGCAGCTCAGCGGGCACTGGAGCGGAGGCCCCTGCGAGGGCGCAAGAGCACCGGAGGAGCACTCAGAAGTGCTCAAGGAAGTCAGAGGGCAGAGCAAGCCCACCAGACACCAGGCTTCCTCAGAGACGATGCTGAGAGGCCAGCACCGAGGGTGGAAGCCACGCGGCTCGGCTGCCACCTTGCAGTCCAGTTGGTTCCTTCTCCAGAACACTCCCAACCTGCCCCCCACAGTGGGCTTGGGCAACAGTCCCTTACCGGCCTCCCAGGTTCCACTCCATGCCCTTGAGCCCTAGGCCACCACCGGTCCTCACTGCCCTTCCAGCAGCCCCAGCCCCTTCACTGTGCCTGCTGCCCGGCTGCTGACCCACCCTGGGGTGCTCTCCCC